TGGGCATTAAACAAACCTACAGTAACATGTCCCTGCCTCCTGCAATTTCCCATATGTGTGGCTCCCACCACAATGGGTCCTGGTTCATTCCTGCTTACATGTTAGGACTCTGCACATGTCAGGCTCATGGTGCCCTTTGGTTGCTATAGCGAGGATATCCAGCAATCTTCCCCATCTTAGGGTCAAGGCCCCAAGGTGGAGGAGAAGCACTACATCTCTGTGTTCCCACATTTCCAACCCCAGTGTGTCTGCTGCCAAGGAACCCATATCTTCTCTGTGGATACTGCAGAGCCCCTTCCCTCCTGCAGCCCATTTTCCTGGTAACTCTCCACACAATGGGCCAGAGGGCTTTGGTAGCTCCCAACCAAGCCATAGAGAACTTGGTGCTTCCCCTGCCCACACAGAGGCCTGACAGATGCCAGTGCTGCCTTCAGAGAGTAGTCAGCAAAGTATCGCCTGGCATCGCGGCCTTGACACTCCAGGGAAGGGTCAAACCCATGAATGAGGTCTTTCTTGGCTGGCTACAGGGACTCCATTTTTCCCTCCAGAAGCCCTTCACTAGCTTTCAAAAGTGACTATCAAATGTGAACTTTCATGGTATATTTATAGCTCTGCCTTAGAGAAAGAAAAGAAGTGATTAAAATGCTATTTTACAGAATATTTTGTTTTTAAAAAGCTTTCATTGTGTGGGCAAAAGGGAAAAGAGAAGCCATTCTATTCATTGTGCTGTCTAGACTGTCAAACAAAGAGGGTTGCGTGCTGCACATTAAAACTGCCCAGCTCCTGCCTGCTGACAAAAAAGATGAATTTGGAGAGGAGCTTCAAATAAACCCTTTGGAACAGAAATACATTGTGGGAGTGACTATATTTAGCATGTGTCAGCATTTCCATAAGAAATTCGTATTGTTATGGTGTGGTATTTTCCAGATTTACTAGAGCCAGTGGGTTTACTGGGGTTCAGTTTTGTGTTAATTGTTTGGCTGAGGTTGAAAACTCAGCAGTGCTGTGTATGATGAATCTTGCTTCTCTGACTTTCCCCACAGAGTATAACACCCATAATAGCCTCCTCTGCCAGGAAGGAGGAAGAGACACCGAAGTACACTGAGTGCCTATGTAGCAGAACTTGTGTTAAAATAATGCAATCTACTTATATTTATATTTATATTTATATTTATATTTATATTTTCTTCACAATGATAAAAATCAATATATTCCACCAAAGTTTAAAAAACAAATTGACAAGAATAAACATCACACATGCTCTCAAACTTTAACATTTCAATGTATTTTCATCATTTTAATTATGCAAATATAACCATGTTTAAAGAGTTGCATTAAACAAATAAATATTTGGTAGCATAATTCCATAAGTCCTGAAGATACAATTGAAAAGCAGCTTTAATTTTTATTCTCACTGCCTATTTTCATTTCTGCAGAAAAGCTAGCTTTTCCTGGCCCTGATTAAAAGTTCTGGGAGTTCCATTAGATAAGAACAAAGTCACTTAAATAATCCAGATTTTATGCTTCAAACATGAAGGAATGTATATATAAAGGAACAGGTTCTCTAGCTGGGTCTGCCGTAAAATACAGGAGATAATTATATTCTTGTGATTAGATTCTTCTTTCTCATCCTAGCATGCTAGCTTTTTTTGCCTGTTTTCCTGAGGTGGTTGGGGACATGAAGGAAGAGAGGTTGGGGTACAGAAAGGTCTTATCTGAGTATCCCTATTGTGAATGGACACGCCAGGGAAGAGCCAAACCTTTTGCTGCTAGGCACAAAGAGCCAGCTCGTGGTTTCAAAGGCTCTGTCACAGATGTCTTTGGAGACACCACCACTGAAAACCTTTGAAGTATCTTTGTCCTTATTAATGCTTTTCTTTTTTATAGCAAACTGTGCAATTCATCGTAATTCCTCACCAATCTATTCGTTTACCTCCACCTTCAGTAAGTGTCCATAGAGAGAGGGGCTAGGTACCCCTGGACAGCCTTGTACAGACACACACCTTCTTTCCATGGGAAGTGGTCCTGCCTCTGGGAGTGGGAAGCCTCTGGCAGTGAGATAATCCCAGGGCATCTTTTCTTCTTTTTGGCTGGAGCTTCCAGTCAGCCTTGTCTCCTCCTGGCAGGAGTTACCTGCAGTCCACTATGCACCAGAGTCTCAGGGGCCAGCACCCAGTTCTGTGTTGGTCTCGGTGAATCCCTGTTTCCACAACTCACAAAGGAAGAAGTTTCCCTCTCACACCTCACAATGGAGGGAAGCCTGATGTACCACAACCCAGCAGCTCTCTTCCAGAACTCCAACTCTTTCTCTGACCTTCCTGTGGATGGAAAGTGTAAGAGTTGACTCAGAGGTCCTAACCACCCTATAAACTCTTCAGGATGACATTTGCAGCTCACTCAGGTGTCTTATATCTGTCATCTTTAGATTTCAGCCAAAACTTCTGTTTTAACCTACTATCACATGTGTGATCCTTAAGTTTCTCCGACCTGCTGACATTCCCTGCGTGCATATGATATGCCAGGTGCTGAGTTTGGCAGTCAAAATAATTATACAATTCCTGCCTTAAAGAGCTCACAAGATAGCTGGGGAGACGGATATATTAACAAAACCTCATGGAGCCATGAAGCTCATGCTGTGGTAGACAACAGCACAAGTTGCTATAGGAACAAATAACTCCATCTAGGAGGGACACACGTATTAGGAAAAAGAAGTGTCAGTAAGATAGTTCCTGCCCAAAGTTCAATTTTGAAACCATTTCTTTCTCAAAAAACAAAATAGGCTTTAAAATTTTTAAAATGTGTATTATAACTATTTGTTTTTCAATAATTTATTTTCAAAATAACCAAAGATAATATGAAAAAAGGAAGAGAGAATTCCCTGATGTCTGCAATTTGTCTGTGCATCGTTACATGGGGAAGAAAAGGACACTTCAAGAAGGCACATTAATGGTGCAGTCCTGGAATGTGGTTTCCACTCTGGAGCCCAGGCACCTCCAGTAAAACTGTGCCCCAAGGGTATTGTCAGGATTAGAGGGAGCAACAGCGACAGAGTCCTCTGAAAACCCAGCTGAGGAAGAGTCAATGACCAAATGAGAATGAGGGGCTGAGCTGATGATGGGAACTGCTGAGACCATCTCACCTTTTCTTACGGAGATCAAAGGGGTTTACACTGGGAATCAGACCTCAGAGCATGAAGAAACCTGTTCTGGCAGCTGGCAGGAAAAGCAAAGCTCTTACCACAGCCCTACGTGAAGCAAGAGCAACCTTAGCAGGGTGTGTTTGCCTGTTTTGCCCTTTGCAAATGGCTCCAGATCACCCTTCTGTAATTGTTGTCTAGTCTTTTTGGTATGCTCACAGCAATTTCTTATCACTTTAAAATTCCTCTATTTCAAACTGCCGTTTCTTCCTGCAATCAGTGTGCTTGCTACTGCTCCAGTCTCTTGCCTCCCAACAGCACTTTCTTATCCACTGAGTGACGGAGGGAAACCAGATAACTAATCCAGAAGGCTCATGCTATCCTTGAGGGAAAGTATCCACTGCACCCTAGCAGGAGTGGAAATTTGTGTAAGTTGGCAGATGAAAAAGGTATTGAGTTTCCTACACCTTGCAGAGTTACCGAAAAGCAGTACATCATATTGTTTGGATTAGAACAAGCATCTTTTCCATTCTTTCGTGAGTGTCTTGGTGAAAGGCCCGAGCAGGCTTTCCCTCTGCCTCCATGTGTATTCAGCATTACGCTTGGTATAGTAAAGGTGCTCCATGAATGGTCTAGGCGTGAGATTCAACAATAAACAGACACGCCATGTCTTTGCGTGTTAGGTAGGTTATGTTTTGGTTAGGGCAGGGAGAGAAGAGGATAAATAATGAACACATAAGCTAGTCAGTGCTTATCATGTCAGAAGGTAGCTAGTCATATGCAGTTCAGTCACTCTGTCATGGTAAGGTGACGGAGATTCTCAGGTGAATGCATACAGATGTTTTAAATACCCAGGAGGCTTTTGCATCCTATAAAGTAATCAGCTTTTTACATACCCAACCCCACCGCTACCCCCACTCCTACTCCATTATGTAAGTGTTTCTCCAAGACAAAGGGTGTGTCTTACATGAATCTGTATCCCTAACAGTGTCTGATACATAGTGAGTAATTAATAAATGGGATGAAAAAGAAGTTCCATACGGGACCCTTTAAAGTAAGAGTTCAGTGGCTGTCCCTACAGCACATGTTGTTCTGTGTTCCGTCATGCTACTGCTTGCAATCTTCCATACTATGACTAGACTGCCGGTCTCCAAAGTTTGGGCGCACTCCATGCCCTCTAACTTTCTCATGGCCTTAACATTCTTGGCAGACTGCGATGAAAACCTGATCGAAAGGGAGCCAGGACAATTGATGGTCCACCTCAGTGTGATACACAGCATACCACGTCCTCCCACATGCTGCAGCATATCGCCTCATGAGGGGCTGACATAAAGAAAAGAACAGCCTGGAACCACATTCCGTGTGCGGCTCAGTTAGACTGAGCACCGAGGGCTCGTGTCTGTGCTCATAACTGATGACACAACTGGGGCAAGAGCTGGAGGTGACAGAGACGGTAACTAGTTCATCCTGAAATGGGGCTACAAAGCAGTGTCCCCCAATTGTTGTTATCTGTCGATCGTGACCCAGTTTACACAGTGGGTGCCTCTGCTACCTTCTTCTGCCCACGTCCAACGAACAAGGAGGGGAAATTACTCCAACTCAGTCCTGGTAGCAGTCACAGAAGTGCTTTGCCTTCTGGGCAGTGTATGCCCCAGAGACCTCGAAACACAGCTTTTTATTAAGTTCAGGATGTGTGGTCGTGGATGTAATCGTCAGAGTTCCTAGGATTCATTCTTATTGCCAGGGAAGATTAGAAAAACATGGACTAACTGAGTATCTTAAAGGGAAGTGAAGAGCTAAATTCTTGTCTGTCTTTGGCTACAACTTTTCAACTCAACTGTCTGCCTTGTTTTCCCGTTGACAGGAGGCAATGACAAGAATGAGTAAAGTTGGGAAAGTTGTGTTCCCGAGACATGAAGATAAAAAGTAAGTATGTATTTCTTAGATGACACTATTAAAGAATGAGAGCATAAATATGCATGCTTCTACAAATCTGGAATAAATTCAGAAATTAACTAATCCAGCCTTTTTACTTAATTCCCTGAGAGGTAGATCACTGTTGTTTGCTTAAGAATCAGCAAAGTCGGGCCAGATAGAGGTCAGTGCAAGCTGTCGAACTTTCAGACCAGTGTTTTGTTTTCCCTGGCTCACTGGTCTTCTCTGCTCTAAAACATGGATATCTTTTATATTTCACATCTGTCCATTCTTTTGTCCTTTATATTACTTGGCATTGAGGGTTACAAAATGACTCTGATCAGTGCTTTAATTTCAGCTTACCAAAATATTTATTGAGCCCCTGCTATAGTCAAGGCATTATGCGGAGCTCTGGGCTGGTTTTGGAGGGTGGTAACATACAACTGGGCTTGTGCACGTAGATCATTCAGAACAGAGGACAAAGCATAGCCATGGAAGTATTGTCAGGTACTGTTTCTAAGATGACAATGTGTAACCTATTAACTAGTGATTTCTTACTGTATTTTTTCTTGAAATTCTGTATTATTTGTACTCTGTTACTGCTTTTTTAAAATTTCCTTTTTCTCTTTAAATTAAAAAAAAAAGTATTGTCAGGTGACAGAGTAGCCTAAAGAGGAAAGAAGTGTGACCCTATGGGCTGAGAGAATGCTTTTAGGAGTAGTTTAAGTCTCAGCTAACATTTAATGTTTAAACGGTAAAGAAATAGTCCCAAGACAGGGAAGAGCGCTCTTGGTAGAAGGAACCACGGCAGTTATGCTAATGGAACAGCATGTTATGTTGTTTCCACACATAAGCAAGTCACAACTCCGCAGTGCAGAGTGTGAGGTGGGTGGAAGCTTACAGAGGCCTGTGCTAGCAGCCGCAACCCTCAGACGGAGCTCAGGTTCTGGATTTAAGGCAGCGCGCTGGTCAAATGCAGATTTTAGAAAATTCCACTTAGAGGGGCCATTCTAGGGGTAAGGTTAGCAGTTCAGAGGCCGACAAAAGGCTTTTGAACAAGCGCCGTTAGAGATGAAAAAGACTCTGAAGTCACCAGTAGTGCATTTGAAGATGAAGAGTACAGTTTTGCAGGCGCCTTTATAATTTGGGGAAGAATTCAAGTTTAAAACATAAAAGCAAATCGCACCACTCCATGTAATGGTCAGCAAAGGCGCGGGTTCCACCACGCGTGCTCAGTATTTTACAAAGTTGGAAAGTCCACAGAAAACAACGCTGAGTTTCTCAGCGAGACCCCTGCGGACGCGGAGCACGGCCGCCACTGCCTGGTGAGATGAGAAACAGTGTCCCTCGTCAACTCCCTCCTCGCCTTTCGGCATTTTTTCAAGAAGACTGTTTTAAGGTCTTTCAGCCCCCCATTCGCGTTCGCGTTCGGAGATCTCGGGGCGCTCGCCGGCATCGTCCGAGCCGGGAGCGAACGTCAGCGGTGCCGCAGCGCCACCTGCCGGCCCATCGAGGATTTGCAGCAAGGATGCGGCGCCACTCCCTGAAGTCCCTGACTTCAGATCGCCTTATTAACTGTATAGGACGTTTGCTTGTGTCTGTGCCACACAGAAGCAACTGAAGCGTGCGAATGAATTTAGAAGACGGGGGATCCAACTGAATTAGAAAGGCAAGATGGTACAGAACCTCATCTGATGGCTGTAGCTCAATAAGGAGATGTTTACATGTGACGAGGACACTTACAAATATGTTAAAATTGTGCATTAGAAATGCCATCAACAAATTAAAAAGGAAATACACAGGATGGGAGAAAATGTTTTTAAATTATGTATTTAATGAAATATTCGTATCTAGGATATCATTTACCAGGGACTGGAGGCAGAAGAAGGTGATAAGGTGTTTTGACTCCTCTGCTGAACCATCACCATGATGATTTGGCAACTGTATACAGGCGGAAACCCTTTATTAATTAACAGAAGTTACTTTTAGAGAGATAAGTTACTCCTCAGACCCAGTGCCAAGTTGGGTGGGTGTCATGTTAGAGACAGCTAAGCCCCAGGTCGGCAGAATCTATTGTAAAGAATTCCTAACACTCAGCAACAAAACACCCAGAGCAATGCAATCAAAAAATGACTAAAGGTGAATGTTTCTCTAAGAAGATGTGTGCGTGCAGGAATCTCCTGAGGGGGTATTCAGCATCACTTTCAGGGACAACCCATCAACTCTCCAAGGAAGCCCTGCCCCTCACCCTGGCCTCAAAACAGCCATACCATAGAGTGACAAGTGTGTCAGAAAGGGGAAGAAACGGCCTGCAGCAAAATGACAGAGCTTCTGTGGAAAATATCGTGGTCTAGTAGGTTTCGGGATTTTTTTTTTTTTTTTTTTTTTAGTTTTTTTTTTTTTTTTTGGTACTGGGAATTGAACTCACGACCTCGCACTTACCAGGCAAATGCGTACATCACAGAGCTAAATCCCCAACCTGGTTTAGTAGTTCTTAAAAAAAATAAAGATAAAGCTAACAGATGATCCACCAGTTCTACCCCTGGCAAACATGCAAAGGAATCGGAAGCAAAGCCTTGGTGTCTACACACCCGTGTCCATGGCAACATTGATCACAGCGACTGAAACCGCCAGAATAATCCATGTCCCTCCGTCATTGATATACGAGCAAACCAATGAAGCATACATACCATGGAGTATTATTCAACCTTAAAAAGAAAGGAAATGCCAGCATACACTGTAATGTAAGTGAAGCATAATGTTTATGCCTAGTGAAATAAGACAGTCAACAAAATTCAAATACTGTATGTGTCCACCTGTGTAAAAAATAAAGCCAATGAATAAAGTTGCTGCAAAGATTTTAAAACTTGAAATCTTCAAGTATATGAGAAGCATCCTGCCCCTCGCATCTTAGCTGTTTTGAGATTTCAGTGTTAGGAATGCATCTCATATAATGAAAGAATAACTCAACATTATATTGACAAGAACACCAGTAAAAGCAGAAGAATGTTCCTAAAAAGAGATACATGGTTAGCAATTTTTCGGTTCATACAGTAGGTTTTGCAGTATCTGCATGTAGCTAGATCAAGGATATTAGTTCATTAATCATTTAAAAGTCGTAATTAGCACTTCTATCACTTACGGGTGTCAGCACTGTTTTACGTGCTTTTCATGTATTGTCTCATTTAATTCACACAACAGTTCCATTGAAGTAGATCCAATAATTATCCCTAGTTGCAGATGAGGAAATTCTGACACAGATAGATTAAGTACCATGTCCGAGGTCACACAGTTAGTCATGGCCCCCTGGGATGCAAATCCTGACCGCAGAGCCCTGCTCTTAGCTGTGAGTTGGCCCCATTCCCATCATGGCTGAATGCATCCAGAAGGCCTAATGTAGAAATGTGTGACAAGGAAGAATCCTGTGCATTTCTGCAGTCACTCTTCAAACCTCTCTGCCCCAGTTCCTGAGCTTATCCCACAGCTCCCTCAGGAGGACTCATTTTCAGTGCACCCTAGAATCTACCATGCTGTGCTAAACTGGCTTCATGTCTCCCCTGCAGTCAGCTTCCCAGCAGAGGAATCAGGACACAGTTGCATGATACCCAGGATTATTTGTCCAGGCTGCTGTTTATTGCTTTGAGGACTCTGATGTCAGGGCAGTTTCAGCTGCTCTGCCGTTTGAATTGTGGACAACTAGTTCTCACAGGTCTTACCTTAAGGGTCAGCAGGGTAGGACAGGCCCAGAGACTGGAAAGTCACTAAGTCCAGTTTCTATAGGGTTTTACTCCTAGATAAAGTGGACTGGAGAGGACATACAGGTGCGGACTCTATAGGAAAGAGATTCAAATGTTGAATCTTGTACCTGGTCAAACTGTGGTAGTAACCTGTGCCCAGGCATACAGGAAAAATGGATTGAAGCTGGGGGTGTGAGGGGGTCTATCTAATAAACTCAGGCCTTCTAGGGCAGAACTGGGGCTTTGAAGTCAGACCATTCTGAGTGTGAATTCTAGTTCTGCTGGTTTTTGGATATACTGCTTTGGATGTATGTGTGTGAGAAAGTGCTCTTATCTCAAAAGTAGAGCAAATAGTCCTTTGGGAAGCTTACAGGTAACAGGTATTCAACCTTGCAACTCCATCACCAGGATGCTATGGGCATCCAAACCCAGGGAGGTATAGATGGAATCAGAAGAGCGGACTCCTCTCCTAAATGTGAGTAGAAGTAACGTGGCCAGTTTGCCTTGAAATTACTTGACATATTTGTCATTCTCCCACAGATATTATGACAAGAAATATCAAGTATTCCGGAAGCTAGTGGAACACCAGAAAGAATATTCAGCAATCATGAATGAGGACTGAACAAAGCTCACAGTGCTGACACTGGAATTTCTATATCATTGTATTTGGGACCTCTGTCCTTTCATCTTATATCCAAGACTTTTTCAGTACCATTTTATTATTTCTGCACTATGTTCTAATAAAAAAGAACTAGAATCTTCATTTCAAAATAACATTACTATTTGTTCAACAATTTCTATACAGAAACTACTGTGGTGCCAAGAGTTTGGTAAGATCATAGGAATATGGTCATTTGTCATTTTCTCATTGCTGAGACACAGCATCCAACACTTGCAACTCAGGAGAGGTGTATTTTTGCTCGTGGTCAAAGCAGCATTGTGGAAGGGTCTGGCAGAGGAAAGCTGTTCACATTGTGGGAGCAGGAAGCAGAGTGAAAAAGGAGGAGCCAGGATGATCACCACCAGGCCCACCTCCTAACACAGCGTAAGCTATCATGCTCCCATGATTCAAACCTTTTCCAAAAGCCCCAGAGCATGTGAAGCCTTGGAGGCCAGCCACATAACAGATCTCACATAGGAAGGGAGACTTGTACTTGTTAATAGATTCTGCTTCAGCCATAAAACGAGAGGCTCGTACTGCTTTAAAGAGGATATCTGATGTTTGTTCTGTGTCCTTTATGACATTTCTCTTTCTGTAAAGGATGCATTTACAGGTTCAGATATTTCATTTAATTGCATCATCATGATTTTGCAATCACCATATTAAAAATAGGGGACAGGCAGGAATCACCGGTGAGCCAGGAGGAAATTCTGATGAGTAATAGGATACACACAGTTTTAAAATGTTTCTTCACAGACTATGCATTTAGTTACAAGAGGAGAAGAACGTTAATTATACAGGGAAGAACCAGACAGGTCTCGATCAAATGATCAGAATTCACTTCAGTTGGGCAGTGGACATCACGCCTCCAAATGCAGCAGCCTGACAAAGACCTCTGGCTGCAGTGCATAACCTACACTGGCAAGTTATGCACTAGCAGCTGCAGGCAGCCATCAGACAAACCCGAAAGGGCTTGCTTTCTGATTTTGTAGTGGAATGCATTCTCCAAATATACCTAGGTTGTAAAGACAAAGAGAGGCTGTTGAAAGTTTCCAGATTAAAGAAACTCGAGGAACATGATGGCTAAAAAGGAAAATGTTTGGAAATTATAGTTACTTTAGTGATAGCACAGCAAACGCATAACACACAGAGAGAGACCTGCACGTGCAGACACACACCTCATTTCAGACCCAACAAGTAATGGCTAATGTTGATGCTAAAACTGTCATAGCACAAATGGGTAAGGATAGAGGATGCAAGGGAACCCTAGCAAGTAGAAAAGAAAAATTCAATACAATTCAGTCAGTGAGCATCCATTGGAGTATTTTCTGTATGCCAGGCTAAGCGCTATGGAAATAAAACAGTCCCTCAGAAAACGTCTAGTCTAATGAGATGCAGGCAGGTAAATGCATCACAGTGCACTATGAGAAGCGCTTCCGTATGAAAGAGCACCATGTTGAATGCTGCATGGAGCACATCAATCAAGAGACAGGAGGGGTGGCGTGGCCGGTGGCATGAAAAGCAGTAGGGTTTGGTGTTTGTGAGTTTGGCTTGGGAGCTCGGTTCTGGATTTACTGGCTGTATGGCTTGGAGAGCATTCCCTAGCATTTGTGAGTCTTAATTTCCTCATTTTTACAAATATATTACTAGTACCTACTTTTCAGAATTGAAGTGAGAATAAAAATGAGTTAATCCATGTAAAGCATCTCATTCAACTGCCTGCAGCATGCTAGCCTGCCTGCCTTGTTTCAAGGCCTGGCTCCTAGAAGATGCTCAGAATAACAGCAAAAGTAACAAGCAAGAGGATGACATGCAGATTGAAGGCCAGGTATGTAAGAGCTTCGTACTATATTGTAAGGATACAGAGATCTTAGGATGGCCCAGGTGAGGGTGTGTGCATATCTGTTCCTCTTAGACCTGACAGCAAGAAGCCCAGAGCATGGGCTAGGTGAGCAAAGACTGGGAGTGTTCTAGAGGAGTGGTTGAGTGTAGCAGAATGTGGGTAAGATATAGGACCAAAGCTGAGCAGCTCGGACCTAGAAGCTGGACAGACCTAGACCAGCTCACATAAAGGATTAGTGAATGCATTAGCTATTGGTGGTTTAGAAAGGCAGAGATCAAGTATTTGCAAACTCCTTCCTTTTGTTCTTGTTGGTGCTTAGTGTTGCACTGTAAGATAGGCAGCATTAAACCTCACAATTCAGTTGAGAGAGCTAAAGTTCAGAAAAGATAGAAAATGGCTTAGCCAGTGTTACTACGGTGGCGGTGGAGATGGCACCCAGATCCGCTTTTGTCTGGGTGCAAAGCCTTGGATGTCACCCTATGCCCACTACCTGTACATTGGTTGTAGTGGTCTCACTGTAAGTACTCAGCCTGTGTGCTGCACATTTTCAGAGACGACTCAAGAGCAAATCAAACCTGGCCTTGGCTTCTCACTGCTTTATAAAGAAAGAAAGCACACACAAAGGAGGTGAGGAACATGGAACACAGCATACCACTGATGTCTCAAAAACAAGGTGTGGCCAGGTGTCTCTGTGAGCTGTGATGGAGGTATGATCAAAAACAGTGACTGCTGCTGCTGCTGAGAGCCATGAAACAGAAAGACAGGTCATAAAAACAGGACGGCGTGTCCTCAGTCACCTTATTCACCAGATCCCCTGGCACCACATGACTTCTCACTCAAAATAAAAATGAGCACAAAAAGTGTACATTTGGAATCAGTTCAGGATGTTAAGCCACAATAGCACAACTAAAGACACTCAAGAAAGAGGTCTCCAGATCTGCTACAGAAAGCAGCAGGAATAATGAGATCAGTGTGTGCAAAATGAGTGTGAAAATTTAGAGGGGAGTTAATAGCAATGTGTCTTTGATTGTAATACAGTTTTAAATTTAAACTTTCATTGTAGTTTTGACCATGCCTCCTAAATGCGTCATTTGGAAGGGCCAAAGAGAAATGCCCGGGGAGAGAAATGAGAAAGAAAGGCAGTAATAGAGCTGTGTGGTGTGTCGCAGTGTCCAGCTGGACTCCAAAGGTCCAGTGACAAAGGGTATATATTTAGAGCAGTGTTGGCAAACCTGTGGCACACGTGCCACAGAGATCACACAGAGCACTCTCTGCAGGCACCTGAGCCAAGTCGCCGTACTTTGGCCACCGGCTCATGAGGTTCTGTAGAGCAGACTCTCGGATCTGTCTCCTTGGTACCCAAAGAGCTCCTGGCAAATAATGGGTCTCTGTAAACAAGTACTGTGCACAAATTGCAACATTTTTCAGCAAGAAGAAGATTGACAGAACTAAAATATCGCAAGAACCTCTCTTTGAGGTCAAACATTCTGTGCGTGTTTTTTTTTTAAATGTCTCTCCGTGTAAGCAATTGTGAAAAACTTTAAAAGATGACTTGATTGCTAAATGTTACAAAAATCACATTTCATACCTAATGCCTTGTTTGTGGTTTTTTTATTTTGTACACAGACACAAACACTAATAATCTTACAACTTCAATTTGGTTTTTAGTTCAAGCTCAAAAACACTGCAAATTTTCACGTTGTTACAGACCATTTCCTGTATAATGTTTTATGGGAAACCAGTTAAGTCCTAATCTAGAAATACCCAGTATTCACCAGGGCTGCACACAAATACTTTTAGAGTTCAAGCCATAGTTACAAATAATTACTACCAAAGTATTTAAAATAAAGGACATTATTGCTTACCAAGCAACTAATGAGGGGGAAAAGCTGTATAATGTAATTATGCTTCTGATGGGGCTTCTGCTGGATTATGTGAGAGCCAACATGCTGTCTCATGTCTCTTGAAGACACTTAACTGCTATTGACAGCAATAGGAGCAGGGCTGAAATACACAAAGCTTTATTTCCTTTTGTGATTTCTAGAGGGAGAATTTAAAAAGAAAGGGAATTTTTTTCAAAGATGCTTTTCATCCTTCTCCCAGGAATATTCTGAGCATTTGCAAATTCTATTAAATTGGTAACGCTGACATAAATTTAAAAAAAAGACTTCTGCTAACAAATTGAGGTATCTCCATTTAACATTAACTTGCCCATTAATTGTGTGCTCAGTTTCCACTGTGCACCAAAGATCGCATGAATGTTTCTAAGACCTAATAAATTTTGTTTGCTTAAGCCTTGATGAGAAGTGTTTCATTATTAAAATCTAAAGCGAACCTGCCACCCCACTGTACAGTGGTAATACATGCTTGAATTACAAACTGTTACAGTCATTAGTGTCTGTTATCCAGGCATAGTGATACCCAAATGGTGCCTTCCGGTAGGGTCTGCCTATACAGGGTCCCTGATCACTGCACCAAAGTTGGCTCCTTCTGCAAGAATCACATCTCCAAGAGCCTTAGTCATTAGCCTAGGGTTGAGTAGCTAAGCATAGATGCAGGATCACTTTGCTACTTCTCCTGAAATAATTCAGTTGGCTCATTTGTGCAAGAGAGAATGGTTCATTATTTGTAATGGCTCTCTCTTCTGTACTTCCCTTTGTTGACATGAATACATATGCAAGTGCTCCTTCTGATGCTCACTGGTTGATGCAAGTTCTTGCCAGTTATTTCCACTGGCAAGCAGCGGTAAAGTAAGAAAGCCTCAGGCCATGAATGATTGTATCTTGCTTTCAGATCACAGCCTCACTACTTCCTAATCTGTACAGTATGTGAATTCACACAAGCCAGTTAATCTGTCAATCTCTGTGTCATATCTGTAAGTGAGAAAAGAGAATCTGCTCATGGCCCATGCAAGGAGTCAATGATATGTGAAGTGCCTCATTCAGTGCCTGACATAAAGCAGAAATATAACAAATACCAGTTTGCCTCCTGAACTATTCCATATTTATCTTATAGAATCCTAGAAGCATATTTTCCAGCCAAATTAGACAAGTTTATGTCCCGTTTCTACATGTGAAAGGTCCATGGTGTCTTGATGACTAATCCCTTCCTACACCAACGGTGCTAAGATATCCCAGTGTTGTGGTTTAGATCGAGAATGATCCCCACACTCTCATGCGCTCAGAAGTTGGGCATTTGAGAGGTGACTGGATGGTGTGGGCTGTAGCCAGATGTGCTGTTAGCAGGGAAAGCCTGGTCAGGATGGCTGGG